TCACTGCGAGCGGCCAAGTGCAACATTAGGTGCTTTGTTTGGCCCGATCGAATTTTGCAGACATTTCCGCCACTTTTCACATATCAGACGATTGCTATCAACGAACGCTCCATAGTTGATTAATCGTCTGTCAGAATGGCCCTGTCGATGACAGATTAGGCATGCGTTTAACAGACTCACACCACGCGCCAGGTAGACAAACTGTAACACGTCTGGAATCGATATTACCACCTTTTCTGGCTGCTCTCCTTGTTTTAACCCAGGTATTCACATTATAGTGGAAGCAACAGTTCCACCATAAACCATCTATTTACACTTCGTTCAGTTATGTGCCATCATTTCCCAGTTGGGCTCAATTTTACACAGTAAATACTTGACACAATCATTGAACTGTTTCTTCGGCTAATACCGCGGTAAAAGACACACACACACACACACACACACACACACACACACACACACACACACACACATATATATATATATGTAGAGAATGCAAAAAAAAATGCATCTAGTTGAGGGATTAGAACGTTCGCTTTCTGATCATGAAAGCCGGATTCGAATTCCACTATGGCGATCCCAGGCGATCCCAGCGTGCGATGCATTTGGAAAGTTCCCAAAGGCCAAACCACGGAGTGAGCCAAGACTTGTGAGTAAAACTGGTTAGACGGAAGAGTTTCGGCGATGGTTGTGTTAGCACGCAGTTACAAGACCGAGCGTTTGAGCGTGCTGGCCTCATTCAAACTGCTGAACACATTCAAACTCTCTCCCAGAGCCTGTAACAAAAGTCCACTGAGCATAGTTGTAGTATAAACCACTGGTTGGCTATATTGATGTTGGGCAGACACAAATGTGCCTGAGCAGGCGTCTGTGCAAGAGGGACTGACTAGACGCCCCAGCAAACAGGTATACGTGCGGCCAGACATTGCCACTGTGTCACTTGCTTCTCTTTCTTCAGACCTGAGAGCGTTACATTATCCAGACCCTCATAACCGATAAATTTTCCCTACTTTTCTGTCTTCCTTTCTGAGAGTGTTAAATTATTCATACCCCATTATGTAATCGAGAAATTTTTTTTTTTTAGACACTGTAGTCATGGTTAACAACGTATCAGGAAGAAGTATAACTTTGAATTCAATACTCAGTCATCTGAAGCTGTACAAAGATCGTTCGAGATGTTGATTTAGATACAATGTTTGTGAAACAATAACATGATGAATTTCAACAACAACGGATAATCCTGTAGTTATCCAGAAGGCTGTTGACACTAACGGGAACTGGATCTCAAATAAAGTAGAGATGTACGAATTAACGTTCTTTCAATTTTTTCAAGACAAAAAGCATTTATAGTCATGTGTAAAATATCATAATGTTATATATATATATATATATATATATATATATATATATATATATATATAATGATAGCATAAGGAAAAATAGGAAATGTCCCTTATGCTATATATATATATATATATATATATATATATATATATATATATATATATATATATATATGAAAGAACAATGGACAAAGTTTATTGGTGGGAAAAAATTAAATGGTAATTATTTGAAGGCCTAATAAAAAGTCATTCTGTTTACAAAGAAAAGGCTTTAAAGATAGAATATAGATGGCCTCCAACAGTTTTTGGTGTTAATTTGAGTGGGACTTGCTAAGGATGGTAAAAGCATCCGCACTAAAACAACACAATTATATCTATTTATAAGCTGTTCTGCGATGGAAGACCCATACGTATTGGTTAGAATGTCCGAGAGAGTGTACTTCCGGTTTCGGATTTTCGCTTGAACGTGTTTTATTCTAGTATCTAGCCTTTGCGTCGTTCTCCCTATGTAGTGCGAACCGCAACTACATTTAAAGGAATAATTTAGTGAACTATTATGGTGCGGTGGGAGAACATCCTTATGTATAGACAGAAGAACGGGCCTGGTAGAGAAAACAACATGAGTGTTAGTGGCAAAGTAACAATATCGAACTGCGGTAGAAGCCTGCTTAACAAACCTATCACTGATACTACTTAACCAAGGAAGGCGTAGGTACACAGGACATCTTTTTTGCTATAGCAGGTTTAACTTTGTTAAATTCAGCAATTTATATACATATACATATACATATATATATATATATATATATATATATATATATATATATATATATATATATCATTTGCCTAAATACCCAAATTTTAATATATATATATATATATATATATATATATATATATATATATATTAAAATTTGGGTATTTAGTATCTCTTTACGTAAGTCTGATTGAATAAATTACAGACATTATGTATGCGAATTTTTTAATAAAATACGTTCATATTCACGAATAACCTTCCGTGTAATGATAGTGAAGGATGAGAGAAATGCGCTATAGCTGTTTAAATTTTGTAGCATTTACTTTTAAAAAGTGTTCAATACAAAGTAGAGCAGTATATTATTATTATTATTATATTTTTATTATAAGAGATTATAATAAAGACATTTTGAAATCGCTACACAATAGCTTTCATGTTACAATACTATTATTGTACTTCATGAGGCGATGGTAACTGTTAATTAAATGATTTTTAAGGAAATTAAAAAGCAAAGAGATACCTCTTTCCTGAAAGTTAGAAGCGGTGGGGGTATAAGGTCAGAATTAAAAATAGACTTGTGAGTATGTCTTGGTTAACCAGTTAAATGTCAGATTTATTCTAAGTAGAAAAGTAAGCTCAGAAGGATGTAGGTGAGTAATGTCACGATAAACCGGAACAGAGATATAGCATCATTGACGATTGTTGAAAATATGCCAGAGACAAATGTATCGTGATTGTAGACATAAAATAACATATTCAATTTTTTGAAGTGAGGGAGGGGGGGTTAATCAGACGTAAAGTTAATAGGAAAAATTAATTATTTTTTTTTGTATTCAAGAAGATTCTTAAAAGGCCTGTTTATAAAATTAAAAATGTGGAACATCTATATATGATATTAATAATATTAACTGGACGGCAATACATAGTAATATTAAAGCTGAAGAAGCAAAATAAACTAATTACCCATAGAAGGTGGGCCATTATATACTATATATATATATATATATATATATATATATTGTTTACACATATTTCATATATATATATATATATATATATATATATATTGTTTATACATATTTCATATATATATATATATATATATATATATATATATATATATATAGATAATATTAGTGGAAAATATACATACATATGAAAAATATATCTAAAAAATTCCCATACATGTATATTTTCAGAAAAAAAATTTCCAAGAGGAAGGATCCAGGTAGAACTCAATGTCTAGGACAGAGTAAGGATATAATAAAAAGGCTTAAACACTAATATTCCATGGTCATAATTTATTCCATTGGAATCGTAAATACGATCCAAATCATCAGACCTACAAATTCAAAATGAAAACAGAAAAAAACAACTCCGGAAATCAAAACAGAATTTAGAGAAAGTGTAAGTATGAGGAGGAGTGACATGAAACCTTTGACAGCAACAGCCGTATTTAGCGGCCGTCTGAGAAAATACAGTAGTAATCTGCAGAGGTACTTATTCTAAGAATGACTGAACTTAACTAAGAAATAGGTACATGACAACGGATTTATCACAGGTGATAGATTAAATAGCTTATTTTATTTTGTAGTAATCAATCTCTTTTTTACACGGGTTTCACTGAAGACGATGGACATGGCACTGCGATTAAAAGTTTTATTATACAAGAGATTTCTTTTTTGGATACAGAATGTGTAAATTCTCAAAATGATCTAAGGATCCGAGCGTTTTTAAGGTTGTTTCTATTTGTCTAAATATGTTTTTATTTTTTTATTTTACATAGGACCAACGTTATTTATAAATTGACCAGCCTGTTACGGAACTGCGTTCCTGACAAAAAAAATTCATGAATAATAATTGCACTGATCATACAACTACATGCCTATCAAGAAGACTTACTTTGCATCTCTCAGATCATAGCTCCATTAAGACCCATTTAAACACAGAGAGAGACCTACTAGCATCTACCCACAACATATTTGTGGAAAATACCAACGTAATACGCGCATTTAATTGCACAAAACGCTTCAAATAATGGAAACTTTAATGATGAAAAAGAAGAAACCAAATCTCAGTAATATTAATTATGGACACTGCCAAAATGTGCAGTGTTCGGGAATTAATGCATTTCTATTGTCATAAAAAAGTCTACATATCCAATTGAATAATAAACAAACGTCCTTGATATTGGGGAATTGATTAGCCGAAAGCGCTCGGGCCCAAATACCATGTGGAAAATTCTTACGCATTTTTTATTAAAAAAAGAAATCACTTGTACGACTGCAAGCAAATATAATAAAATTTTAATCGCAGTGACGTATCAGTCGTCATTGAAACACACACACACACACACACACACACACATATATATATATATATGGTGTATCAAAAAACGTGTTCACAATATAAATTTTCTGCCATTGTTAAACAAAATATTTCTCAGTTAACACACTACTACATACGATAAACATTGAAGACAGACTAGTCACAAATGTACACGAATGACAAATGTAACTTAGTCCATATGGCAACACAGCGACATTTAGCATAAACTTTATTTAAACTTAATAACTCAAAAAAGATGAATTTGTGGACATATATTTATATGGACTTTTGCTTTTGTTTAGGTATGAGAAACCCGCCCCCATTGTATGTAAAAGTATTTTTGATACACCCTGTATATGTATGAAGTTCAATTTAGTCAGGTATAAAGCCACAAGACTTTGTTCGGTACTGTATTACTAGTCTACCTTGAGTAATTACTTCAGAGTGGCACACATCAAATTGGCAGAGACATTTATATGCACTCTATGCTTACTCTGTTAGACAAAGGCATTTATAAGAACATAAACATGCAGTCGATTGTTAATGACTTTTATAAATAGACAATTTGTAAAATGGAAGACGCATATCCTGACGATAATAACGGTTGCAGTCGTAGCAGTGATGTTGACTTGACAAGACTAAATGGTAACGGAATATTACATTTACACAAAGAAAAAAAATGTACTTATTGAATATATTTCGTATTTCGACGTCGACATCCGAGCTTCGGTACCCAGGTCGGAATAACAGATCAATTATCCAGGCGGACAGGCACCATTAAAACCAACAGCCAGGCAGGCGACGAATAATCTGAATAAAAAGTACTTTGCAATGGAGAGTCTTCGGTTGTGAGGCTAAAATGGCGATTGCTTTTCTATTTGGTGCTAGAAATAAAGAATGACGAAAAAGAAAGTCTAAAATGTTTGCGAGTGTTTGAGGGAATGTTAGGAAGTCGATAATAGCCAACAATAAAAATTGGCGGCAATCAATTTTTTTGTGGAAGGTTGAGAGGGGGTGACGAATGACGAGTCGTTGACCATTCATTATTTTCAAGAAGAATTGTAAAAGCAGAAAACTGTAAGTTTTCTCTGGTACTAAAGAAAAACAGGGAAAAATAGCAAAGTGTGTGTTATCGTGGTGAATAAATATTTACTAATATATATATATATATATATATATATATATATATATATATATATATATATATATATAAAATTAGTCTTATGAAAAATAGTTGAAGGGTTTGCACATTGTTATAAGCAAAAATAATGCTAATGTAACCGCCATCATCAACAACTATCACTATTTTCATCAATATTAGATACCACCCATTGAAATCTTCACAACCATTAACACTGCCGCGAGACTCACTATTGCCATCATCATTATCGTTATAAGTAAAGGACGTTTTAATGCAATCATCAATATAATCATCATCAAAAACAATAATATAACAATAATATATCTCCTTGCATTCAACCATTTGCACTACCACTAGATCATCGTTACAAGTAAAGAAAGTTTCATCATCATCATCATCATCATCATCATCATCATCATCATCAACAACAACAACAACATAATTTTTCTTCGTTCATCGATTTAATGTACCATTAGTCGAGCTATAACCATTATGGTTTATAAGAAGACAATTGTAATGTCATCATCATCATCGACGTTGTCGTTGTCAACATCACCTACAAGGACAATATGACTCTATCTGAATACAACGCAACCCTAAACGCTACCACTACAGCCATTATCACCATCATCATGATCGTTATAAGAAACCTCCTCCTCCTCATCATTAACATCAACAACAATATGGCATTACTCATTGCAGCCAAAGCAACCAATTGCCGTTAGACCCACTATCACCATCTTCATCATCATCGTTTATGATTGAAGATAATTCTATCATCATCATCATCATCATCATCATCATCATCATCATCATCATCATCAGCAGCAGCAGCAGCAGCAGCAGCACCAACGCCACCAGTAACAATAAAACATAAATCTCATTAAAATAAGCGAAACCAGTTTTAGCACTACTAGACCCTCTATCACCGATCACTATCAATTTAATCTTTATAAATAAATTATTAATCATCATCATCGTCGTCGTCGTTGTTGTCGTTGTAAATAACATCATCATTATCATTATCCTCAACATCATCATGAACAACAATATAACATAACTCTCGCTGTACACCACTACTGCTAATTACACCTTCATCACTGCCAGCTCCTCGATACCACCCGTACCGTCTTCCTCAAAATCATCATCGTCATCATCATCATCATCGTCATGATCAATTGCACGGATCAGACGTTAATCTCTTCCGCTTGTAAGTTAGATCGTGAATTCTAAATTTGATAATAAATCAATCAATAAATTTGGAATCTCATTTTCTGTGACGTCGATTTGATAATATCAAATAATTAGAAAAAATCATTTCTTAAGTTTTAGATATTTTTTAAAATTCAAAAATGTAATTTTAGTAAACTACTTTTCCCATTTTTCTCGTCTTCTCCTGATTATTTGCTTAAAAATCCGCGAATAAGTGTTTTGGAATATATTTAATTATTTCTAGCATTTTTGAATGGAAAATAATTGGCTTCTTAAAAACAATGACAGCTTCCTTTGATTCTATTTTCTTGTATTTCATTTGCAGAAGACATTGTTTCAAATATTGTAAGGATATTTTATTGATGCTATATTAATATTGGTTTCGATTAGTGAAATAATTCGATTTCAAATCTCTTAATTTCAGATCACATGATACATTGGTTGTGTTGAAGAAACAGACAACCGACCCGAAGACGCGGGAGAATTCATTGACATGTGTTATCTCCTCTAAGCATGGGAAGCGGAAATGAGAACAAACTGTCCGCGTGGATTCAATAAAGGGTTCGCTTCAAAATTCAAAAGAAAAGATTGAAGCATTTCATCAATCAACAAAGGACACGCACTCAGTGGCATGGGGGAGGCAGTTTCCTGTGATTTGTTAAAAAAGAAAAAAAAATCCGAGATCTTATTCGATTTGACACATATATAGAGAGAAATGGCAGGTAGACAGTGACTGGCCACGACTATAAGTTTTATGTGTTTGCACACGATCATCAGGTAGCCAGGGGCTGTAGTAGAAAGGCGAGTACCCTATATACCACAGGTCTAGTTCAGTTTAAAAGGGAAACTGAACTCGACTGGTTGTATATAGGGTACTCACGGTGGTGAAAACTTGCATGGTGGGAAGGGCAAATCATCCAACCAAGATCTAAAATGACCGTAAAAAAATATTCCATCTGGAAAGGCATGCCAATATTGCAAAAAGTGCTAAATAACAAGTGAAACTGATGATGATTTTGTGCAGACATGAAACTTATAGTCGTGGCCAGTCACTGCCTACCTGGTTTTTAAATTAATACACAAACACACACATATATATATATATTAATTTGTCTACCGATTTGAATATTCGTGAAGTCTTATTATAGAAAAATACGTCGCAGGTAGGATTCGAACCTGCGCCCTCCCTTTGTAGGCTAAACCGTCGTTCGATCCAATAGGCTTTATCTGGGTCGGATATGAAGAGCGTCGCCATTAAGAAAGGCTGTATAGTGCCTTTAACTGAATACTTCCAGTTAATGGCTCTCCACTAAAATGATCGTTTAGCCCTCTGAAGCTTGACCCCCTGATGACTACGCTATAAGCACTTTCACACAGAAGGGCCGGCATACCGGCCACTCGGGTTCAAAGAGTTAAAGAGTCAATTTCTCCTGACAAAGGGGACGCATGTTGGAATCCTGCTGGAGAGCGCATTTTTCATTAATAAGATTACTTTAAATATGGGTAGCGGCTAAAAATAACACACACACAGACACACATATGTATATATAGGCTTATGTAGGTTTATTTTATGAGAGATCGACAGTTACCCATGCACCACGTCTTCCTTCCCTCTCCACAAAGGCCAATGTATAATACCTGTATTCTGGCGGGAAAAACTCCTCCGAATAATACAATTTGTAAATACTAAATAAAAATATATTTTAAAAAACCGATATCAGGGAAAAAATAAAAACGACTAAAGAGATACGTGTTGATCGAAAAGCATCAAAGAATTAAAACTGGAGGCGTAGGTTCGTTTCATAACGAAGTTTGCGAGTGCATATCCGGAAGTTGAGTTACACACATGCAATAAATGCAGTCGGCGCTCGTTAAGCACTGCCGACAATGCACACACGCACGCACGCACACACACACGCACACACACACGCACGCACACACGCACGCACACACACACATATACATATATATTATTGTTATGACTTTTTGTACAATAATTGATTTCCTGTGTCATAAATCGACGTTTTGTTAAAAAGTAATAAGAAGTGTTTAATCCAGTTCATTTTTTTGTACAAAATGTCACTGCTAACAGGAAATGTTAAAAATCGTAAATATGTATAATAGTACGATGACTTTCTAGATCCTTCTACAATTTCATGGAAACTTCTAGAACTTGGTTTTGTTTATTTGTAACTTTGTATATTATGCTACAGCTATGAACTGTTAAATGGGTTTAAAAATACATAAGTATTATCAAATTGCATGCATCGTAAAATCAAATTTTTGGTTTGTGGTGGCCTTTTTTCAAGAATTAAGACAAATTTTTATTACTTTTGAACAAAATTTCATCGATATATGAGACAGGAACATAGGTTTACAAAAAAGTCATATCTCTATATATATATATATATATATATATATATATATATATATATATATGTTTGACATTTGTGTGTGTGTGTGTTTAAAATGGGATATGGAATCTGAAAAAGTTTTGAAGAAATTTTAGAAAGGGAAAAACGTTTCATTAAAACTAGATTTGATTACACGTTTCGCCTCTCTAGGTTTCATCAGATGCAAAAACAAACCTCTCGGGTAAGACGATAAACTACATCCAACAGCAAGGCCTCTGACCAAGAGGGTTTTTGAGAGCGTGGAACCACCTCTTAATTGCTGATGTCCCAGGTCCACCCTGACCTGGGGTGATAGCACCTGTTAGGGTCCCAACTATGGGAAATAGTTAACCCCCAAACTGGGGTCAAAACACTATGAAAGTGTAAAAATAGGTTTTAATACAGCAATACATTTTTGTAAAAAAAAAAAAATTACGGACACTAAATTTTTGAAGAAAAAATTATTACCAGCAATACATTTTTGAAAAGAATATTATCAACAATAAAAATCTTATCCGTATTAAATAACCCATAGAAATTGATATGCCGTAAAACAAAATAAACCAAAGCAAGCCAAAACCAAAAACGAAAGAAAAAGTTATTAATATATTTTTCCCAGTTTTTCTATATTGGATTAAAAGTAGATCCTCATCTCATTTTCAGAGTGAGTCGAAAGCAAGCAATTTATTTGGCCTTTTCCGAAATGAATCCAAGGCAAACCACCATCTTCAAATTAAGAGAAGCATTTGCCTTTAATTCGAAACATAGGTGGGAAACATATATTAACAACTTTCGACATGAACTAAGAATTATAAAGAAAAGATACAGGGTAAATATTAACGGTTTTTTTAAGTCACTCATTTTCTTTCTTTAACTACAATAAACGACACCTTAAGGACAAAGTATAAATAATTTATAATTTAAGCACAGACACACACACGAATACACACACGAACACACACACACACACACACACACACACACACACACACACACACACACACACACACACATATATTTACATTTCTTTTTTTCGTTTTGTTATCTTATGAAGCCTAGAAAGGCGAAACGCGTAATCAAATCTTGGTTCAATGAAACGTTTTTCCGTTTGTGTTATGGTGAAACACGCCTATTATATAGTTAATAGACTCTCCCACCTAATATAAGTAGGAGTAGTAAGAGAAACGGGGGTCAGTCAGTCAGTTAGTGAGTCGATGTCGGACGACAGTTAGTCGGATACTAAAGTATCAGCGACCACAACTAGATTTACTCTGCGTCATTACCTATTATATCAAGTTCCTAACGTTTTGTACGTCGAAACTATTTTAGGACCGATTTAGTACAAATACAAGCCTCCACTGCGAAATAACTCCACAACAGTTTGTCAAATTTCTTCAAAACTTTTTCGTGATTCCATATCAGATTTTAAACACACGCACACACGCGCACATACACAAATACACAAACATACACACACAAGAAAACAAATACACACACACACATATATATTAAATAGCATAGAAAGGACAGGGATTATCTGTTAAAACGTTTTGCTAAGCCTCGCCTGGTGTCGAAAAAGTTATTTAATATTAGGTAGGAACTTGTAAACGTAGTTACCTAAATTATGTTTTATGTTCTGCATAATTTACAGACACACACGCGCGCGTATGTGCGGACACACAAACAAACGAGTGCGCACACGCGCGTGCGTATGTATAAAATTCAGTTTGGTAGAAAACGTTAATTTTTGTACAAGAAGAATGCTGTAATGTGTTTGAAAAATCGGAGAAAACCTTTGCAATCACTAAAATATACACAACATTTTCAAAAGGTCTTAAAAAAAGCTTTGCTTAAACAACAGATTGAAACAAAAGGTTTGTAAAGACATAAAAGAAAATAATTAGACCTTTCTTCACCGAAGATTTTCTTTGCTTGAACAGCCAAGAAACATTCATCAATCAAATTGTGACAGGTACAAAACTATAAAACCAATAAAATCCATCTATCTCAGCTTGTTCATATCTATCTATCTATCTATCTATCTATCTATCTATCTATCTATCTATCTATCTATCTAAACTAAATTTAATTGTTTGTTTCTTTCTTTCTTTCGCAGCCTGTTCATATCTATCTATCTATCTATCTATCTATCTATCTATCTATCTATCTATCTATCTATCTATCTATCTATTTGAGTTCTGTGTGTGCATGCATTTGGTTTGTATTTCTTTATGTATGCCTATAAATGTATGTATGCATATATATATATATATATATATATATATGTATATGTATGTATGTATCTCTCTCTCACACACACACACACACACATATATATATACACACACACACACACATATATATATATATATATATATATATATATATATATATATATATATATATATATAATGTGTGCGTGTATAAGACATTGCCAGCGCAACGTAGATAAAAATAAATGAAAAACATGAACAAGTCGGTGATAAAAAACAAAGAAAAAACTATAAAATTATTAAGTGCGTGTTGAGTTAGTGGAAAATTGCTGTCTCCGAAAACCTCTTTCCATTTGAAAGAACAATAAAGTCGAATGGCGGCCATTTTGAATTTCATGTTTAACGCTTTTGCTTCTGGTTTATATGTGAAATTTTAAATATCAGATCTACGCTTTGCCGTATTATTGAATGGAAACAATAAATATCAATATTGTTTTCGCTTTTACGGCTATAGTTTGTTCATATTTTTACCGCATAGGCCATTAAGATAAAAATATCGTGAAATATCTCGTTTCATACAGCTTCCTTTACAGCGCATTTGTAATCAATATTTTACTAATATAGAAAAATTTCCTAAGAATCGTTAAATTTAAAAAATGTTATGAATATTCAAATGTTGTGGAATATAGTTTTTTATTTTTGCTACTTTGGGTACTCTCACCATTTTTTTTTGAGATATGGAATTTTATGATTATTTTATTAACTATAATCATACTTCATCTTCTATGTGACTCTCAGTCATATAGCTTTGAAATATCGGTTTCCATATGATCACCGAAGTTAAGCAACGTCAGTACCTAGATGGTTGACCTCTTGGGAATACCAGGTGCTGTAAGCATAGATGTGCTCGTGGTATAATAGAAAATGGTTTGGAATTGTTAATCGGAGAGTTGAGTTCCAATTCTCGATGGTTACGTTGTTCCTTTACACGCAAATACCATTCGAACACGTATGACTAGACATCTTCTCCTCCCCAACTATAGGTTAATTAATAAGACTTATATCTCTAAAATCATTATCATCTAAAAAACAATATTACATTCTAAAATCATTTTCTGGCTTTAAATAACCTGCAAATGGTTGATAAGAAATAGAAAATGAATTAATCAAGCAAAAATCGTTTTATGTGTCGTGTTTCTTCAGAACATTTGCGATCGTTTGGACCTGGCTCTATAGGATGCAAAGCATAAAACATAACATAGACAAATGATATTCGGTTGGTGCATAATTATCAGGCGTTTTTGTAGGTTAGTAACTTGTTAATAAAAATTGCTGTTTTGTTTACTTTTTTTAAATAAATATATTTTATTTTCAGGTTAAAAAAATGCGTGCCGATAATCATACGCTCCGGAATAATCATTTAAAAATGTTATTGTTGAATTGTTATGTCTCTTTTTTTATAATAATTATTTTTTAAAAACGCCTGATAATTATGCACCAACCCAATGATAATAATAATAATAATGATAGTGATGATGATGATGATGATGATGATAATAATAATAATAATAATAATAAAAAGTAGTCCGTTATCACATGACGTACCTTAATATTGTTTACATAAAGTCAATTAAGATACCACGGCAAAATATACACCCATTAAAATTTCCAAGAATAATTGTGGAAGATTAGATCAGTTTAATTTGTTATTAAACTTAGAACGTCTTGACATTGAATAGCTAATAATTTGTAGAATTTGCATATTATTATTTACATTTTTTAATGCGGACTATTGACATTGTTCTTGTAATTGTTGCAATAGTTCATCGGCTAGATTGTAAATGTGTAAATGTAAACTTTTCTGACATGACACTCACCCAGCACACCTTGCAGTAGTTGCAGCTATTGATTCGATGTAGTCACTCCATTTCAAGTCAGTTGAAAACATGAGGCCTAGAAGGCGTTGTGTATTGCTCTCCTGGCGTATAACATCAGGCATTCTGATGGCAAACAGAAAAATGTTCACCGTGGTGATTAAATGAAAGCATGTTTGTTTTAGAGGTGTAGATCGGGCATATTGCATTGTCTCTTCTTCTCTAGCCGAGTCTCCGTCCGTAGGTAGAGCCGCGACTGAGTCTTATTCTGCCTGAAGACAGTGAACTTGACAATCGCGATCCAGGCCGCCGACTGCCTGACTGCGACGAGTTGGTACTTACTCAGTTCCCACCACTGAGATGAGATGTGACACAAGGTTGAGATTATTTTGGGGAACCCGAGCTTGTCCAATCAGGCCAATGGTCAAAATTTACCCAACCCCCACAACCATGGGATCGGGTCCATTCCTTGTTTATTCTTCTCAGCCGAGTTCCCGTCTGAGTCTCTCTCTTTCTCTGCCCAGAGACAGAGAGTTTGACAATCGCTAACCAGACAGCGAACTGCCTGCTGCGATGAGCGTTTCCACCCAGGCCACTGGTCAAAATTTATCCAGAAAAAGGCAAAAGCGAGCTCGGGTATAGTACTAGTTTGTTTTTCTCAGTCGAGTCTCCATCCGTGGAAGAACCCCGACTATGTCACCCTCTTCTCGAAGACGGCGGTCTTGTCACCCTCTGCCCGAATAGAGGTCTTGTCTTCTCGCGAGCCTGGGACTGAATCTGACGAGTTGGCATTTATTTGTCGTCCCACTGCAGACTAGATACGACACAATGACTGTGAGGAACTCGAGCGTTTCTACCCTGAGTCACTGGTCAAAATTTATCCAGCCCCCAACCCCGGCAAAAGCGCGCTCGGGTACAGAACTGGTCTGTTTTTCTCATTCGAGTCTCTGTCTAAAGATAGTATCCCAATTCAGTCATCCTCCACCTTGTCGCGAGCCTTGGACAGACTTCTACTGACTCAAGTTGTTTTCTTTATTTCAGGTTTTGCCTAGTTCATTTGTATTACCGGGGGTGTCTTATTTACCCCACAACAAACAGCCGGTACCATTCTAGGCACAACTCGATTAGTGAGTTTTACTTATTTTTATTCTTTCAGAAAGGCGATAAAAGATATATATATATATATATATATATATATATATATATATATATATATATATATATATATATATATTTTATTTTTATACATTCTTTTTATAGATAAAATATTTAAGTCAATGATCTGTTTTATAATAAACAATTAAACAACATTTACCGGCCTGAATGTCCGAGAAATTTTCAGGCCGGTAAATGTTATTTAATACTATTTATTATAAAACAGAACATTTACTTAAATATTTGTATCTATAAAAAGAATGTATAAACATAAAAATGTCTTAAAATAATTGTCGGACTTTGTCCATTTCATAATATATATATATATATCTGTTTAACACTGATCAGGAAATGAATTCCTGTTGCCTAAACATATTATCTACCACATATATCTATTCGTGTAAATTCTGCTACTTCTTTTCTTTGAATGCTCGTTAGTTTTCTTTGCTTTCATCCGTCCGTGAATTTCGATGGTGTATATTATATTAGTGATTACATAACAAAAACATTATCTCAATACCACCAGCTCAATACCATTAGCTCAATACACCAAACTCAATACCATTATCACAATACCATTCGCTTAATACCATTAGCTCAATACCATCAGCTGAACATGACTGTATATATTACCGGATACATGTTTCTATCTCCAACTCTTAGCGATGGCACGTGGTTAGAGATGTTAGTTATCAATCAAGGTTGTACTTTGATATCAACAGTCATGCGTCCTCTTCTTGGTATGTGAAGTAATTATATATTTCCCCAGGAAAACTAGTTTTCGGTGTTCGTGCTAAAGTAATTGCCAACAGGAAAAGCCCAACATGGAAATTACAAATTGGAGATACCAAAATCAAAAAGTCAAAACTTTAAATATTTGGTAAGTGTTTTAACAGACGACGGAAAGCGTGACATTGAGATCGGAAGGCGCATTGGGATGGCCAAAGGTGCCTTCCAAAAGCTAAGCAGAGTATTAAGAAACAGAAAAAATAGTTAGAAACAAAGAAAAGAGTACTGAACTGTTGCTTAATATCGGTCAACCTATGTATCAGTGAATGGTGTACAATATCCTCAAAGATGAAGAAGAGACAGCAGAAATGTGGTTCTACAGAAGGATGCTGAGGATACCATGGAATGAATATGTGAGCATTCACGATGTTTTAGAGAAAATACAAACAAAAAAGTAACTTATACTTAACACCAGAAAGAGATAGTTGAACTTTCTAGAGTCCATAATGAGGAAAGAGGGATTAGAAAATTTGATACTCACAAGAAAAATCGAAGGCAGAGGAAAACATTGTATGATATGCTTAGTGAGATAGAGTAAATGGATGGCCGGACAAGGTTTAGGAGAGATAACAAAAAGATACAACTTATTAAGGGGAACAAAGGACAGGAAATTGTGGAGATCCATGATAGCCTACGCCCTGAAGTAACATGGCACATAGAAGAAGAATGAGCTTGAGTAAATGGATGACCCGACAAGGTTTCGGAGAGATAACAAAATGATACAATTTATTAAGGGCAACAAAAGACAGGAAATTGTGGAGAGCCATGATCGCCTGCATCCTGAAGGGACATGGCACATAGAAGAAAAAGAAAAAGGAAGAGGAGGAGGAGGAGGAGGGGGATGATGAGAATCACGTGAAAGATTGGTGTTGCACGATCCCCTTTTCTTCTTGGTTTAACCTTGTGCCGGATTAAAGAAATTGTTGTAAATATCTAACAACAGCCTAATCTTGTTTATTTCACCTCTAGCCAATGAAATCAACGGTTTCCTTATGATTAGCGATAATGAGTGTTATCGGCCAATGAACCAGAATTTATGACTTCAAATTTAATCTCTCAGTTGGTGAAACCGGTTAAGTTATAGTGAATAAAATGACCACTAGAGATATTAATGAAATAGATTGTCATTAAGTCACTTGGTATCTCGCAACCTTCCGCTTTTGCCGACAGAACTCAGTATGGTCTCTTTTTAATACATTCACATCATCAAATTATCTTTAATATAATAGCCTTATTGAGTCTGTTATTATCTAATATTAATTTCAGACTAATAACAATACCATTGTCATGATTTTAAACGCAATTTTCTTAAACCCATTTACAAGACATTTCTGTATTAGAATTAATTGCATTGTTTTCTAAGAATAAATTCTTAGCAATTCATTTACATATAACAACTCTATTTTATCAGTAAAGATTGTTGTAATTCTTGACTATAGGGAATCGCTTTTTCTGCATTTTCACTGAATTCCTAATATAAAACCATATACGGAGTGCACCAAAAATGTCTACACACTTTAGAAAAGGAAAAATTTATATAGATATTGTAATACTAAATTTATTCAAACATCGAAATTAATACAAGTTACCTTTGGAATCTACAGTCATAAGAGATGCTCAAAATGGTGGCCTTTTGCATCCAGACATTTATTAGTATGGCGAACTATATCCTGCGAAAAGTTGGTCGAAGTGTACAGTGGGATTGTTGCACACCCATCTTTAATTTCTTGGCAAAGAGACGCCAATGTAGTCGGTTTTCTACGATACACAGCATCCTATAGTGTCCCCCATAGCTAAAAGTCTGCGGGTCAGGAGAACGTGGGGAGATTCGATAGAACCTCTTTGTCCTAGCCAGTGTCGTTGCAAATTCTCATTCAGAGAAACTCACACGTTTTGGTGGTAGTGTGGCGAAAAATTCATCATTTCCATAAAGTTCATGAATGTTATCGCAATTTGTTAAAACTACGAAAGACAAGTATTTCCTTTCCTGAAGTATGTACACATTTTATAGCGGACTCTGTATATAGCAAAATGAATTGCAATGCTTTTCAATAGGAAAATTATTAATAAACTTATATTATTCAAATAATATGTCAGTTCTAATAGTAACATTCGTTTTGGTTTCTTATCCGTTGCAGAAATGAAGAATGAATAACTTAGAAGGCAGAACTTGTCACTGTTGTTGTTTCTGCTGAAGAGGTTAATTTCTTCTTCGCCTCAGCAAAAGTAAATTCGAGGAAAAGGTATACTTTGTATTTGGGGTAAATAAATGTATAATTTATTTACATATATACAAAGTCAGCAAACTACTCGTTGCTGTTGTAAAAGGCGACAGTTGGAAAGGAAGAACGAAAGAGAAAGAATGTTGGTCATGGCCTTTCGGTTGATGTTTTGTGAAGACGGTGGCGCCGAAGGATGTATGTGGAAAAGTACTGCGTTCAGTCTCAGTCTGTCTGCGGCGTTCTGGACCAATCTCTGCGTGTCGACATCTCAGCCGGGTATCTCTCCCTCTCTGTCTTCTGCAGCGTTGAATCAAGGAATTTATATCCGTCGTATCGGATACAAATCACATCTTTTAGCAGGAGTTATTTTTACTGGTCAATATATAGAGTCCATTTTGTCATTTAATACCGAAAACATGCATCGAGCCATGATGCGCAGAGACGCGTTTTCGCATTCTGCCTTGGGTCGTCGAGCAGTCAATATTCGGTTTAGTGTAAGAAACATGACATGAGGGTGATCACAATCTGCGGAAGCAACATGGCGTGTTCGAATTTTAAATATCTGAACTGGTGGAACTAAAGAATGGAAATCCTTTGGGGATTTACCATGGAAATACAGGTAGAGTAGCGACATGCTTGCAACGTCGCGGGCGTGGCAAAGAGGCTGCAGAATGAAGAATATATATTCAACGACAAGACTGCGGAAACAATTTTGAAACCTGCGAAAATGGCGGCAGCAACACTCCGATTTTGTTTTAATCCGATTCTTGTAACGATAAAGTATGGTAAAAGGAGTCAAGAGCGATAGAATGAACAGAATATTTTTCGAGCATCTTTGGCAATTGATTCTTTATACGAGTTCCGTTTGAGATCTGAAATTAAAGTTCTGACTCGATGTTGCTTGGCCAACACTCAAGCTAGCCAACCTGAGTAACTCAAAACAGATTTCTTGTTATTATTATTTAAACTTTACGCTCCTTCGTATTTCTTTCTTTCTTTCTATCTTTCTTTCTTTCTTTCTTTCTTTCTTTCTTCACCCATAGTTTCTAACCTTTTCTCTGGGCATTTACTCATCTTTTCTCCATTTATGTTATATTCGATTTTATTGAAAGTATTTATAGAAAAGACGCAGAGAGGCAACTTTAATAAAAAAAAGTAAGTTGTGATTATGAGGCTAAAGGGGGCCCATAAGAAATTATTTTGACTTGAAGAGGTTAGAATTTAGTGTTCAGGGAAGTGTCCACATGAGAGTCTGTTCCACAAAGATGTAGTTATTGGGGAAAAGCTGTCTTAGAATAAAAAGCAATATTTCTTTCTTTCTTAATCTATAGTTTCTTACCTTTTCTCTGGGTGTTTATTCATCTTTTCTATTTTTTTATGTTACGTTTGATTTTTGCTTTTCGATTCTTTCTTTCTTTCTTTCTTAGCCTCCCAATTTTTTGCTTTGTTAGTTTCTCCTGTTTTCGCATTCTTTCTTTCTTTCTTTCTTTCTTTCTTTTCTTTTCTTTCTTTCTTTCTTTTCTATTTCCTCTTCTCAATTTCTGATATTTAGCGCCTTCACTCTATTTCTTTTTTTGATAGACATTTTCGCTTCTATTAATTGCCTCTTTTAATTCTTCTAACTTTTCTATTTATTTTAGCATATCTTATATATTCTCCTATTAATTATTAATACATTTTATACAAATTTTCTTCTTCTTAGGTCTTAGTATTTTCATTTTTTCCTTTGCTTCATACGATTTCATTTTCCTCTTTTTCTATCTATCTTGTTTTGGTTTCAATGTTTCATTGTCTAGTGGGCTAAAAAAAAAGATGGAACCTTGGGGAATTGACGGTTAGAAAGTAAAAAAAAATGTGCCGAGAACGGGTTGCTGGGGTAATATCGCCATTTTTTTTTTATTAAGTGATTTTTCTTGTCAAATGTGAATAAAAAGTTTTTCACGCCTTTATTTTATTTCTTTTTGATTAGATATATTTTATTTATTTTATTAGATACATTTTTGATAAAACATTTTATTACGATGAAATAAGTGAATAAATGATGTAACGTGTAAAGAAGGAAAGTACAGTAATAAAAATGCCACAACTAACGGCAGAAAACGAAATATAGCGACATAAAAATGAATTAGGGAAAAAATGTACAAAGGAAATTTGAAAACCAACGCGGGAAAGGCTGACGTAGAAACAAACGCTAACATACAAGCCTCCATACGATCATGCGCATTGCTATACTGGTGACGAGTTATTTATTATAAATGGTACTAATTAAGACGTCAATATTTCCAGGTAGATTAAATTATTCATTGCTGTATGTATAGAAAATGTTAAATTTTTTTATCTACACTAATTAAAATAGCGGTATTATCAATTTTAGAGTATAATTTCTTTTTTCTTTTTATGTGCTGTGTCCCTTCAGGACGTAAGCGATCATGGCTCTCCCCACCAGCTCTCTATAAGTTTCGTCCCTCTGGCACCTCCCCTAGACCACGTTCTGTCATCCACTTGCTTAAACCCGCCAGGTATGTCATGCATTGCTTTCCCTTGTCTCTCTTCCCCTCTATTCGACCTGTGAGTATCAGATTCTCCAGGCCCCTCTTCTGATTATGTGTCCCAGAAATTTAATCTGCCTCTTCCTGATATCAAGTATAAGCTTCCTCCTCTCCAAAACCTCATCGTTGCTCATATGCTCAGTCCATGATATTCTTAGCATCCTTCTGTAGAACAATACCTCCATTACCTCGAGTCTCTTCTTCATCTTTGAGGAGACCGTCCAACATTCGCTGCTGTAAAGAAGAGCTGACGTCACGTAGCAGCTCAGTATTCTTTTTTTCTTATATATGTTCACAAATGTGCGCAGCTTTGCTCAAAGTCACTTAATAGAGAGCACAGTGAGAAAATTGATACATGACTTTTCCAAAGGCATTAGTGCAAAGTGATTTAAATACTAGTAATTTAGCCTTGTCTTGCTGATTCTACATTCCAAGGATCTAAGCGATACGTTTAATAGAAAAAAATATTGCCTTCATATTTACTGAACTTAAATAACATGAAATCATTTAAAGGTAATTGTCGAGGAAATGTTGCGTCACGCCATTTTGTATTTTCTTTCTTTCTTTCTTTCTTTCTTTCTTTCTTTCTTAGCCTCCAAATCTTTTACTTTCGCAGTTTTTCCTTTCTTTCTTTCTTTCTTTCTTTCTTTCTTTCAGTAGCAGAATTTGATTGTCTTGAAAATCAGCATTGTCAAACCCGGCCTTTATCTGCTGAGCACTCGTGTAAATTGACATTTGGAAATCCTGGGTACGAAATCTAAAATTTCGCATTGGAAACTATATCAGTCATCTGACAACAACTTTTTGTTTACAATGATATTCACCCTGTTCACGGCCCAAGAATCTCTCGAGGTAGAAGGTTATACAGTAAAAGGCTTCACCTCAAGAAAGCTAATAATGCTGAGACGCACATTGAGAAGGCAAAGATATTATAAAGAGCCGGAAACCCAGTCCTAAACAGGAAACAAGGGATAAACCTCTACTCCTTTTCAAAAGATCGAGGAGAAGTGTGAACTGGACGATAGGCAAACCTATCTACTCCTATTAAAACCTACTATACTAATTACAAACCTATCTACCCTTTTTGGCGAGCAGATCTCGATTTTTACAAAACTTGAGGCTTACGGCCATATCTCGTTGAAACATCGGTTCCCGTACGATCACCGATGTAACGTCGAATCTGGTCAGTACATAGATTAGTGACCGCTTGAAAATGTAAGCTTAGATGTGCGGGCGCTGAAATGGGTACTGGGTTGGGGTTGTTAATCGTCGAGACGATGTTTAATTCCAGTTGGGTTCGTTATATTCATTTACGCGCAAATATGCTTGGGAAATCTGTGAATTCGCCTTTCACTTCACGCTAATTAGTAAAACTTGTACCACTGAATTCATTGTTATACCCCCTACCAAATTCTTGCAGTCTAAAAATTATTTCTGGCTTTAAATAACCTGAAAAGAGTTGATAACCTGTAAAAAACGAACCAATTAATCAAAGAACATGTGAGCAACTAGAAGGTTATTAAAAATAGGAAGTAAGTGGAAAATTATACTTACAACCAGAAAACGATGGCTGAAATAATGAGGAAAGAGGGTTTGAAGAATTTAACACCCACTGGGTTATATTTAATTAGGGGAAACAGAAATAAACAGTGAGGCATCATCTACTCGACAAGTTTTAATGAATCACATTTTATTGCAGTGACAAAGATGGATTTTAAAGGCTCCAAAAGACAGAAAGTTTTGGAGAGCAATTATCTACCACGTCTTTAAAATATCCTGAATTCAAGAATGGTGCTATCCATGCTTGTGCTGTAGAAACACTCTTTTACATTCTGTAACTTCTTTCACTCAATGCATCGATCCCCATAAACACGCTGGGTGGATTTTTCTGCTGGACTTGCGTTGACAAACTCATGGAGTATAACAATTCTAATGTGTTCTTTCGCTGGGATGAACATAGATGCAAGTTCTGAATTATATTATGAATAATAGTTTTATAAGCGGAAAGAATAAAATATCAATTACGCATAATAGCATTACTAAACAACATAGAGAGGCAATAATTTAATAGATGTTGTTTTATATTTCCACCTCAAAAAACGGACAGAACTTTCGTTTTATCCTGATACATTACCCAGATAGTTAAATTTCTCTACAATCTTGGATTTGATGTACCCAAAATATATCTCAATTCTTAAGCTGTCTGATTTGCTGCCAATTATGCATTCTTCTTTCTTACTTTAAAGGCTAAATCCTTTTTTTCTTTGTTCCACTACCTTGTCTTCAGTGATTTTTCGGTCCCAATTCTGAACCCGTCTTCGACAAAGTGTCATCTGCGTGTATCTTAAACTGTTAAGATTATGTCTAATAACAAAACTCCTGGCTGGTTTTCGCGTTCCCTGAGGATCATCTCAATGTATAAGTTAAATATACTACATTAAATATTACTACATTAAATATATACTACATTAAATATTACTACATTACACCAACTTTCCTTTTTACGTATTAACTGGACTTGTTCTCTCTGTGCATACAAGTTGTTTAGTTCCTGTATAAATCAAGTTTCCCTAATATTTAAAGTAGCTCTTCATGTCATTTGCTGGATTTAAATTTTAAATTATCTTTCTCCTACATGAGGTACCAACCAAGGCAAGAGAACATACGTTAAATTAATATTTTGCCTCTAGCTAGGGAGAGTAGAGAACAGACATGCTCATGTTTGTTTTTCAATGATGCCACTTCGACTCCAACAGTTTTTGTTTCTCGTAATTCCGACCTGTTGAACTGCCTTCTGTTTACTTGCTTCCCTGATAAATACAATCTTCAAAAATTTAAATGCAACATTAACAGCCATCTTTTATCTTCTTGAATCCCGTTCATCATTTGTCCTTCCCTCAACCTCCCCCACTCAAACTCATTCTTTTCTCTCACTTTCACACCCTGTAACTCACTGGGTGCTAATGGCATTCCTGCTTTGCTTGGGGCGAAATGATAAAAAATATATCAATGTGAAATGAAAATAAACTGTATCAGCCGGGATTTGAACTTGGTTCACTAATTAGATTGTCTTTGACATTAACAACGACACCTCCATCCTTAGTGAAAAAAAGTTTTGAAATAATTCCATGCAGTATTTTCTATATATTTTTTGGTTTCTTCATTCTGGTATGTTGAAGTCGAAATTGACTTACTTGACATCTTACTCTTTATCATATTTCAATCGACAAAAGACATTAATTGGCGTATTCATCTCTGATGAAGTGAGCCCCCTATATCAAATAAAAATGCAATAAAGAAATAAATACAGACAATTGTTTTCATAATAAAAAGGAATAAGAACTTTATCAAGTCATCTTCACACAATCAGTTATTCAAGTTCAATGTGAGAAGACATTTTCAAAGCTAAAGATCATAGAGACAAGGTTGAAAAATTTTGCTGATTGAAGAGAATTTGGAATCATACAGGTTGCTATCTATTGAATAGGAATTGTTAGATGAAGTGGATGCAGAAGCAATTATTGGCAAATTTGAACAATCATCAAGTGAACACAAATGATTGCTCTTAATATAGTGGACTGCATGCAGTGCTCTATTGTGCTTTTGAACTATCTGTTAATGTGTAAATTGTGCAGTAAACTATTTAAAAATATCAACCATTTAATTAAAATTAAAAAATTATATGTACATATTCTTATGATTGTTTCTGAATTGTGTGTCATCTTTTATTTTCAGTTGCCAAGCGTGTTGTGGAAAGATCTCTGACTTATAATAACTGCACATTAGAAGTTTCTCTTAAGCAGCCACTAAAAACAAACGATTGCTTTTAATATAGTGAGTCACATGCACCTCTATTGAGATTTTGAATTATTTATTAATGTGTAAATTATGCAGTAAACTATTTAAAATATCAAACAGCCGCTTAAAATGAAAAGAAAACAAAACAAAAATTAAATTTTGACACTAATATGTAAAGTACATATACATTGTAATTACCAAGAAATATACTTTTCTTTGAAAAAATTTTTAATTGTACCCTTTTTTTCAATATGTATTTTTTTAAA